TTAGTTCTCGCATAGTTTGTTTGAGATCAGTTTGAATTTCGGCGAACAACCGATCTTTATCAGACTCAACATGTTCTGCTATACAAGACACCGGGATAAACAGTATTAATGGTACTTGTAGCAGTAGCGGCATTGTTATGCTTAATGACACTTGTGAATTCTTTCGATTCGCTTAATTCTTTTTTCAAAAATTCATAACAAACACATTAGGTAAATATGAACATATTTAACTAGAATATATGTTACGCTATATTATGTTAAATTATTACCACTAGATGAAAATATTTCTAAAATCTATAAAAACGCATCATCACTTATAGATACCCCTTAAAATTTTTGCCACGCGATACCGTTACACTGTTCCATATAAATGAAAATAAACAAAGCCACGATGCAATTTAACGAGTAAGGGATGCGTGCGAATGCCAATCGAAGGATCCGATTTCGTTTTGCGTTACGATACGTTAGGTATCTTTCTCCCTGTACTAATGGTTGCTCGTAATTTTGTTTCCTTTTACTTGTAATCTGATATGATTGCATACGACGATGTAGTCGCAGGTGAATAACAATGTTCCGCGAGAAATTAGTTTTTTTTTGGTGAAAAAAGAATACATTTCTTTCTTGTTATATTTTTGTCACTCGTGGTTTTCGAATATATCTACAAAATTATATTAACGAAATTGCAAAACTGCAACGTTACAACCGTTTATAGCTTTTGAATTTTTTGCAGGATAATAAGCTGTGCGTCACAGTATTATGATAATATCATTTCGCCAAACAAACGCACTCGAAGGAATAATCCCTATTTATTGCTGAATCGAAAGAAATTAATCTGCACGCCGATTTCGCAGCGCGGTAGAAAAAACATAACTATTTGTTTTGGTGATACACTGCCACATATATTTTTAAAAAATCGGACAACAAATTGCAGCAGGAAAGCGCGATTCAGCGCGTTAACGTGTTTTACAGACGTCCAAATTGATCTCAATTATCGTTCAAGCGTTATGCAAATTTATGTACAGAAAAAAAAATTTTTTTTTTTTAAACAGTACGAAGTTAAAAATAAGCTGGCAATTAAAGAGACGCGGTTGTTAAAAGTAAAATATCATTCGTAACAATATATGTATAGACCTAACCGTTAAAGCGAATTGGAGAGCGATAAGAAAGAAATCAAATTAGGTGTTCATATTAATTGTACATTTATCAAAAATAATCGAACAGAAAATAAAGCATTGTTCTTTTGATTAGTAATTGGGTTTCCACGTATAACGAAGGAAACTATCCACAATGCGTTCGCAGCTTGTCAGACGAAGTTGTGGGAATCCGATTTTGAAGAAAGTTATGGCATCGATAAAGATCATAACAAAGTACTAGGTCAACGACGTATTTATGTACATAACACCAGTTATCGCGTCTTTTTCACGTTACACTTCGTCTTTTTCACGTTACACTTCGTTAATTTGCGAAATCCTCGAGCGACAATGAATTTATGGAATATTTAATCAAAGAAGCCGCCTCTAAATAGTATTTTCACTCCTTATCTCTTTATTTCGTCTTTACGCTCCTTATTCTTGGCAACCAAGGTCGTAAGTAAAGGAGCAACCCTACTCGGCTTGCCACGGAATATTTAATTAGTTTTTCCAGCCGACAGTCGCCGTCCATAAATGTTAATTGCAGATGAAGTAGTAATAAAAAGGCCCCCGAGTCCTTGCCAAGCCACCCTTTTCTCCTTCCCCTTGATTCTTACGACGCTTAACGAGTACCCGCAAACATTATCCAACGAAACCCACTATAGAGACATTTTTCCCGCGTTTATGGCTTTGCTGACATCTTGCCGGGCGCAATTGCTTGATGATCAATGTAAATCATCCCCGATCTGTAAAATTTCCATTCGTATTTTCTGTTATACATAGTATTTCAATGTCCATCGTGAATTGTTCGAATTATAATAATGCAAAGGTGAGATACAGCTGTAAGATTATGAAAATCATTTAAAGTATTTAGAAACTACTTCAAGATTTCGACACTGGTTCCAAATTTCTCTTTTCCAGAAGAAAGAAGTCGGTCGCGATAATGACAAAATGAGGAGTCGAGAAACCGAATTAATAACGATTAAGTAACGAAGTATCAAAGACATCCTATAATTTAGTACAAACCAACGTGCCGTATAAAAACATTTAATGCGATCGACGAGCGGTTTGAACAAACTTCAAAATGCGAAACAAACAAAAAAGGAACACGCAAAGGGTATAAAATAATTAATTACGATCTCGTAAACGTTCGATTCAACGTGCGACTGTCTCGTATTGTCAACGCTTTTAGCTTACCTCGGCGAGCACGAAATTGTGGAAAAATCGTTTGAAGCTCCGGCGAGAGGAGAAGACAGCCGAGAAAAATCAGTGACGATCCTCGCTGAACGATAGAAGGACGGGGATGGCCAGAGGGGTCGTAGTAGCAAAGGCAGAAAGAACGGAATTTAATTAAGTAAAATTACTGTCGCACGAAGAGGCGAAAAGCAAACGGGATGGGAAGGACCAGGGGGAAGGGATGATGTTGGCCGAAAAGGTGGCGATGCAAGACGTTACATGGGGAACGAGGGACGGGTGGGAGACCGGCATAATGATCTTATCCCGCGATGAAAACGTAGTAATAGAAAGTAAACGAATTCAAGCCAGCCGGAAGTTTCGGTTATTGCCATTTTCTTTGCAGTTTAATCCGTTGGAATTGTCGTGTCAGCGACATTGGTAACGTATCGTTTTAATTCGCTGTCTACCATTCCGTACAAGCAGGAGACTTTTCGTTAATGATAAGAATTGAGAGTCACACTTGAATTCAACGATATCCTTCTTTGGAATCTTAACAGAGCATGACAAATAAGTTCCTGGGAACTACATACAACGTTATTCAGAATTGTTACATCTATGCTTCCATGTAACACTGGAGTATAAACAACACTAAAGTATTTTATACATTTGCGACCTTTGTGATAATGCGAAGCACTAACGATCATGCGATGTGGAAACAAATATTAGAATGAACCAAAAGTTCGTGGGTTTTTTACGTTGTTCTAGTTTGTGCAATTTTTTGAAGTCATTAAAATGACACAAACTGAAACAACGTAAAAAAGCCACGAACTTCTGGTTCATCCTATAATAATTATAAATTTCTGTACAGTAAAATTCTGAATCTTGAAATCGGAATAACTAAAGAAAAAGAAATCCAAAAGAACGCCTAAAAATTGTCGCTTTAGACTAGAATATCTCTATAAGTTGGATTTATATTTAAACAAAAAAACAGCTCGTTTTTTATTTTATAATAATCCAAGTATTTTTGTCTTCAAAGAGCATTCCATTCGTGATAGTTTAACGCATTCGCGACGCTGGATAGAAAAGAGACACGAGTTTTTCAGGAACGTTGGAATTACCCTCTCCGTTTCAACTAGAGCGAAACCAGGAACGCGTTCATCCCAGAGGATCCATGCAATCACACGGAACGGCCATTTACGCCGCGTTTATGAAAAATAATATCACCGTTCCTGGTAAGATCCTCGTCGTTTCGGCGGAACGATGATCGAGGAGAGCAAGAAAACTCGAAACGAGTTACTGTTCTTGCCTTTGAAATTCCGCTCTCATGGCTTAGTCATGTGCATCTTTGCGCGAGACTAACGAATGCATAATTTAGAGGCTTTCGAAGCAAGAATCCTGCACGCGAAATACCTTTGTGTGATAACTGAGAGTGAATTTTCACATGCATGTTTCGCAGATTGAGTCATCTAGGTTATGATCGTTGGCATAGAAGACTTTCTACCTTGTAATATTGTGTTGATTCGTAAGTAACTTCCGCTTCAACGTCGCTATTTCATTAAAAGAATCCGAATAAAAATTATTGTTTTATTACTCAATGTATGTATGACAAATGCCGACAAACAGACTTAACTCTTTACATTCGAGAGGTGACTCTCAGTCACCATTAGGTTTCACACAGCAAATCTACAATACCTAACGTTTCTTTAGATTTAATTTCTTTGGAGCTCGAAGTGTCGATAAAATGATTGTCGGCGAGGTAAATGTGATCTTATTCTCAAATCTAGATAGCGTAGAATTCATGGCGATAGAATGCTAAGAAACATCTCGAGTTGCTTGTAGATACCAGAAAGAAAGGCTTCGAGTGTAAAGGGTTAAGTCGATTGTTTTTATCGAAAGTTGTTGAATATGACTATGATTTTCCTCGAGTTTCAAGGTGGCTTCGTCCCTTAAACCTTGCTGACGATTCAATTCAAGACTCTCCCTTATCGCATTGTAACATTATTTGGAATCCAATTTTTCAATAAGTTAAGTAGCTAACTCGAGCTGACAAAAATGCTAGCTTGTTTACAATTGGTCTTGTTAGATTTGTGGGCACAAAGATGAGCATTGGTCTTTGACTTAGTCTGTGCAAACGTGCTAGTCGATCTTATAGCTGCGTTTCGGGGATCGATGGAACACTGTAAGCCCTGGGAATTGCGGAAATGAACAGAGCGATCGATTCTTGTCGCGATATATCGGCACGGTGACCTGATCCTGACTATCGATCGTCGTTAAAGGGGTGCGCTAGATCATCCAGTCAACGATTAACGTTTGATTAACCACGATATTTGTCTAATTTTCAATTTCAGAATTTTTTCGGTCGTCAGCAACAAAAGGAATAAGATAATCGAAAATCATTTGACACATGTTTAGGTGTAAGTGGTCGACAGTTTGACCTATGTTAAGATTTTGTAATTACGTTATTCCTTTAACCTCTTCAGGGACGATTATTTTTTTGTTATTATCGTTTGTTCTTTTTATTATTGACAGTAATTATAATTATAAAATATCGCGGTGAAAAATCCTCCATTCTGGAAGGGAATGGGAACAAGACAACGCGCGACGGGACAGTTATCGACAGTTATCGTGTATCGAAAAAGCTCGTGAATCGAATCAGTTCTATGCGGCGGTAATGAAGATGGCTGGTAGGCCTACCTTGGTCGAATACAAGGCAGCGGGTGGTCTTGGCAGCGAGTCCCGGGGGCAGAGCGAACCTGTAGGCCGGGCCCAGCGACAGCCCTAACCCCAGCCCGAGCGCCTCCGCGCCGCATCGGCCCCCGAACACAGGCCCCACTAGAATCACCCATAACAACGGTCATCAGTCATCGTCATCAGCAATACCTTACACATTATATCTACATATTAATACATGATTCATGCAAACTCTCTCGTTTCGAACGATTAACCCTCTGACTCCGAACGGCGTATATGCACCGCTCCAAAGTATCGGAACACTTGCTTCTGTTCTATATTTTAATTTATGTTAATTTCTATTTTTCAAACTAAACGTCGTACGAATAAACTGTAAATAGAGAAAAGTAACGTTTTATCATTCTCTATTCGATACTTCAATGTTTTTAAATTATTTCAAAATATACGTTATTTTTATAAACGCTAAGTAAATGACTGAAATAAACTTGAGCGAGTTTCGACATCGCAAGAAAGAATATTCGATATTTATATCTAGTATTAAATCCATAGGGCGTTCAAAAGGTTTTAACTCTGAATCGATATTAATCCACAGGATGAAAGGAACCGATAACAATATTACTCGAAAGAGTACTCGTCCGAAGTTTTTATCGATTTGTCGCTCTTACAAACGAACGACCATCGAATTATTGCGATCTAATATAGATAGTAGCGCATTGTCGTCATTTTCACAGAGTCATTAGGTTGGTTTTTGTATAGAGCCAGCACGTGGCGGTCGGCTGGTTATTAAAAACCCCTCCGATATTCTTCTTCAACCCCACGGCTTAAATTCATATCAATCGAATGAAAACTACAATAGAAATGAATTTTTGGATGGATTTATTTGTTAATCACACGTAAAGATACTTGGTTATAACTTCAGGATTATACTATACGTATAGATATATAAATTTTATAGAGAAATAATTTTATACTACATGAAAGTGTCGTGTCAATTATCGTTTCCACCTTAAATGCGCAAGAGTTACCTCCGATAATAATATCAACGAAATAATATTTGATCACGCATGTAAAGTAAAAATAAACAAATAAAGATGTTATAGTTTGGCAACAAGGACTTGTCTAAAAAGAAAAAAAAAATAGAACACCACTACTTTATAGAGTCATACGTATAGTAATCAATATAGACAAAATTTACCTTTACTTTTAGGTAAACATAAAAAAGTATGTATCGATTTATTCATTTTTCAATTCTCATTTGATTCGCAGATGTAACTCGGAAAAACCTGATTAGCGAGATTAAAAATTCGGTTTCCTCGTTTATAAGTTACCAAAAACACATTAATTTGTATTCAGGAAAGTATCTCTTTCGAATTTTGGTAAAACTACAGACGATGCGCGCAGGCTTCCCAGGAACTGCGAGAAAGGGACGTGCTAAACCGTAACATCCACGGTTGAATAAGCCACAATCTAAATTCACGTTCAAGGAAGATAAATGCATCGAGCATAATGTCGGAGGCTTAACGTATTTCTTAAATTCAGTCTTTGAGATGCAGAGTATGGAGTTTCCTCCTCCTCGGTCTCCTTTCTCGGGACCTTTGACTTTGGAAGCTCGTACTCTGATTAAGACACCCGATACAATTAGGCCGAGAAAAGAACCTCAAAAGACGCCTCTCTTTACCTGCCCTCTGGCCCGGATGCAGACGCTTAACCTGTGTCTCGAAAGAGACTGGGAGCTTTTTCTTGGCGCAAAGGAATTCTACGAGATCATCTTAAAAACCCATCTCGTCGGAACAAGGAATTCTTCGTGCGAAGACATTTTATACGATAGGAAAAGTCAGCAACATAGAAAAAGGATAGTTTCTTTTTATTGTTTTTCAGTATAATCATCTTGAACGCAGGAAAGATTAGGAGAAAATGACATCGTCGACTCTACCGATTAGAAAGTTTTACAAATACAGTGAAACCTCGATTATGCGAATATTAGAATAATCAGAATAAATCATTTATTTACCAATATATTCTGTCGATTTCTTTGAGGACTCCAATTTCCGTTGAAGAAAGACTCGATTGTTTTGGCCTCGAATTACCCTTTTGAACAACGACACGAAAAAACTCGAGAAATCACCTAATACTTTACAATAATTACTTCGTATTCGCGCTCCTCTACCGATCGTCACGATAAAAAAAAAAAAAAAAAAAAAAGTCCATCGACTCGCGAAAACAACGATTACCGGCGATGATGTCCTCGCATTCCCAAGAAAGTCTCGAATGACGAGTCATCTTGCGATAGATCGATGACGACAGGGCCGTCTACGCGAACGAAGAAGAAGGAGAAGGAACGGGAGAAGAAGAACAAGGGAAACAACGGGAAACAGGAGACCGCCTAACATGGCGCATGAGACGATCCCGAAGCATGCGATTGTTGCGCATCATGATCACGGCAGCTGACAGTCGATCCTGCGATCTTAATCTGGTCAACATACTTGCGAGAAGGGAAAGAACTGCCAGAACGAAGGGGAACGAGGAAAGGGGAGCCGGGGGGAGAAGGAAAAAATCGGTAGCTCGTCGATTGAGAGGACGGGAATCCGTCTGTCGGTTTATAGGGCTGAGAGACCGGATCAAGAAGCCTTGAATAATTCATCGAGAAAGCGAGACTCGCTGGTTTAGCTTCGGCGCAAGGACTGACGTTGTTCCATGCCTGTTTGCGCTGTTAGTTGATTCGCTTTCTACCTCTTCGCCACGGTTATTTCTGACACCCTGTATCACCCTGCTCGTCCGTTTCGTGTTTCAACCGTGGCTTGTACACGATACGTCGAACCTTTCACGAAGGAGAGGGAAGAGTTTTCGGCCCGATGAATACGCGCCAGTACAGTCGGTGGTTCATAATAGGTAAATCGCGAATCGCTACTCGGATAGCTTACTAACCAAATATTTCGTAAGTTTGTTGAAAATAAATGGTACTCGCTTCGGATTCTTTCTTTTTACTTTGATAGTTGGACAACAATCTGATTTATCAGTCCATGTGCTTTATCTTTTTGTACACTGCATTAAAATTAGTATTAACCCTCTGCACTCGGAGCCACCTCGTTGCAAAATGAACAAACTGGAGACCATATTACGTGGTGTAACTTTGGAACCAAATAATTTATTGTAACGATACTTGGTTTATATGAATCTATAGACATCATAGGAGAAAAAGTTAAAATTAAAAGTCCCTTTATCTTAGGCTACAGTCTTAGGAATATGCTATTTCAGATACTATGCCAGATTTACTAACTGTAGAAGTAAACGAGCAGAAACGGATGAATTCATTTCGTGAACGCACAATTTAAAGCATGGAAGAAAGAGGGAGTTCAGTTGCTGTAAAACAGAAGTAGTAGAAGACGAGACGTTCAGACGTGGCACTAGAGAGTGGATTGTGTTGCGGCAAGTTAGCTGGTTCAGTTCCCGGCGTGAGACCCTACTACTCAACGCTAAAAGCGGCAGACCAACACGAAGGAACGCAAAAGTAGCGATACAAGCATAATAAGAGTACGTCTTCCCTTATTTCGAGTTATACAATCGAAGACGAATGATCGTTTGAAACTTTTTCACAGGCAAAATCGACATACTTTTTTAAGCGTTGCTTGCAACGACACCATTTTTAAAAAAAAATAGACCACTTTCTTAACGAACAGCTTAAAGTAGGAAAAGTCGTGATTTTTCATTATTATTTTATTTTTGTCAAAGAGGACCCGGATCACAGGATTGAAAACGCTCTAACATAAGCGAACTGCGAGAAGATTGTATCTCTCACAAAATATTAAAAACACCTTACAACGTGTGATCGCAGTAACCGAGTGTTTCATACATTTTCTTAAATACCGAATTTGGATATACCATGCATGTTTTCCAAGTAAATAACCATAGTAAACGATTACCTTTAGCAACGATAGGAAAGATTGTCTACCATTACAACTTACGTTCGTAAAACGAACAATCTTATCTAAACATGCAAAAATTTGATAAATTTATAACGAGCTTGCTTTTTTTCTTAATTTTAAACTCAAAGGTACCTTCTAGTTATTAACGTAATTTCTGGAACATTCTGTACATCGCGACAATATTTGATTAAGAGGGATGTAATGAATAAAGCCTAGCTCTGGAAATATCATTACATCGTGCGCCTGTAGTCGATGTCACGAAACAAATTTCGAAATAACAGGGGATATTAGTTTTCCGTTTAGTTCGAAGTTAGAATGGTAAAATGAGGAAGAGAAAGGTGAACGAGAGCCATCGAAGCTGGTTGATAATCGACGTCGATTTTCACCATAACAGCCGGCGTATATCGATTGTGGAAAGACTAATGGCCAGCGTGGTTAACCGTATTATCCCATGGCGGAAGTCCGCCAGTTCAAACGGGGACATAAATAGCGGCGGTTCCCGAATCGTCTGTTTCAATATTAGTTTAACAATCACGGGTGTAGGATCTACCGATGCATACGTCACGCCGCACACTTATCGATACGTCGTACGAAAATATATGTATTTGTGTAAAAAAAAAAAAAAAAATGTGAAAACCAGAAAATATGACTGGAGATTTAAAATCAGAATGCAAAAGCTTTGGAAACAGGTAACTTTACATTGGTTTCTTAGTTCAGAAACTAAGCGTTCGTTTAAAAATTGTACGTTTTCAGCTGTCAGCTGTCTAATACGTTTAGAAACTGTCTCGATCTTATTACGGGCAGTTCCTATTGCACGACACATGTATAAATCTCAACCATTGAAAATTCTTCGTTACTCGAATACGGACTACGCGGCTCACGTGACACAGACACAGTGCAAGTTACGATTAACGAATGTTGGTAAATTTAAAAATGTCGATGCTCGGGAGGCTTTTAAGATGAATCAACTCCCTATATTGTGAATCTCTGCGGCACGATGACGGCCGAAAAGGTTGCCGGATTCTTTATTAGTTTTACAACTTTTTCATAAAGCAGTGAACAAGAGCGAAGGATCTGATATACTCGCGCATAGTTTAGTGAATATCGTCGACAAGTCCGAGGGGACCCCGCCGTTCGTGTCTCGTATACGAGTTCTGCTCGTCTCCTTTGCTCGATGTAGATTCTGGTCAGCCAGTTTCCTCGGTATTTGATAGAAAT